TCGTCACCAATATGCTACCGCCATACCTACGTTGATTTGATACTCGTAAAAAATCTATAACTACCACAACACGAGCATTGTAATATACAATGTACTGAAGCTATTGATATATGTGATATATTATTTACTTTGGATTACCTCACAATATGGCGCTATGTTAATATTGGAGTTTCACCCTAGTGATATGAAAAACACTAGTGAAAAAACATATTTCACGACTACTACAGGCGGTGAATATCGTGTTTTTCACCGAGTTTTACGCCACTTCACGTAAAACGGGTCGTGAAACTTCATTATATATGATTATAAAGGGGTATAATAAAGGGATACTTATAAAGGCGAACGAGACGACAGCAGCATACATAACGCCATCTCAATGCATGATGATAACACATTAACACTTCTGAACGTCACTTTCCTCGAACATCAAGACCAGCGTGAGAAGAAAATATTCACATGGTCAACTACATGTGTTGGTGATAATATGGAAATCCTGGGAGGAAATTTTAGGAAATTCTCATTGGTTTCTGTACACTTCCACCCGAATTTGCACGTAAACTCCTGTAATTAGTGAGGAAACTCCTAAGCTCAGCTGAGGGAAGCGACACTGATCAAGACTATTTTGACCAAATGCCTCAAAAGTCTACATTCTAACACGATGTCGTCGCGAGCGAAAAATTCCGGATTCGTGCATAATCGTTCGCTCACTTCGATAGAAGGTCCAATCCACTCATCATAGTAGCATACGAGGTAGTCCCAGCATTCACGATACCAAGACCGTCAGTGAGCAGCCACGCCACTGGGTACAGCGATAGTGTCACCACCGTCAAGTCGGCTATCAGGCGGAACCTGCTCACCAACAACAACCATCTGAATTTCGTGGCGCGTGACGCTGACCCACCTCCCAGCGAGCTCTCTGTCACCATGACTTTTACTAATGTCTCTCAAGCGACATCCGATATACCAAATCAACGGTACCACACCAAAGCCCAAACTCGTCGTGTAGAGGGCAGTCTTGGCCCACCACGGTGAAGTCAAGAACAATGAACCTAACACGACAACAACAACCAATAGGAAAAAGAAGTAAAAGGAAACTCCTACCAAACTCCCCACCAACCCATACAGTGTTAGCTATCAGCGCTGGCACTATCGCCTTCACTCCTGCGCCACTCATGAAGCCCGCATTGACGAGCATAAATGACGAACTAAATGAGACACTTCCAGGTACAACAGGATGATCAAAATTTCCACATTCTTCTTACCACTACACATGGCCGTAGGCGCTACACTGAAGTGACAAAACCCGTCAGAAAGCATCGAGGGTTCCTCATAAATGTTGTATACACCTTCTCCTAGCTGCGATTAGACTCCCCGACTGCGATGAACTATATATTATGGCTCGCCTTAGTATAGACGGAAAATTCCTACTGTAATAGCACCGATTTGATATGCAAATGTGTGTTATTTTGTAGGACAAATGATAGTGAACAAGTTGTCGCTATCATCACAGTTCCACACGGGTATTCTCATCATCACAATACATGTTCATAGCCATCGTTACACTGTATATGCGATATATCCCAACATCAATTCCAGCCAGTCTCGCCACATTTGCATATCAAATTGACACGCACTATATAGTCCTTAATACGCATAACACACTAGTAAGCTTATCAGCGTATAAGGCCTTGGCATACTACGCGAATATTCACCCAAGCAGTCAACGCCCATCGCTCACCTCACTATCCATTCTATGTACTTAGCGGGCACCAACGATACCATATGATGACCGATCAGAGTCGTACCACTCAACACAGGCGACAGCGACACCAACTAAAGAGGGATAATTTCATGGCGCGTGACGCTGAGCCTACCTGAGCTAGATACCCACATGCTGTAGTAGCAGTGACAGCGGCCGCCATGTAGTACACCGGTCTGCCGCTCCCAACCGGTACGGACTTCCCACGCCGTATGAACCCAATAGAAGCTGAGGAGAACACAAATTTCCAACGACATTTCTCTAAAGTTTATGAAACGCTTTATCAGTGTGGAGGGAAATATGCACATTTGTCGGTGACAATATGAAAATTCCATGACGATGATAACACAGTAACACTTCTCAACGTCACCTTCCTCGAATATCAAGACCAATGTGAGATGAAAATATGCACATGGTCAACTACATGTGTTGGTGATGATATGGAAATTCTAGGAGGAAATTTTAGGAAATTCTCATTGGTTTCTGTACACTTCTACCCGAATTCGTATATGAACTCCTATACTTCGTTCGGAAACTCAGGTGAGGAAAGCCAACATATATTCCAACACTGCGATGCATTTAACCATCCTTAACCCTCCGACGGCATTCTAGACGATATCAAGAATTAATATGGCTATCACTCTTATGGGTAGAGCAGTACACTGAAGTTTCACCCGTTTCACATAA